ATCAAACATGATTCTGGGATGCATTAGCAGGAGTGTTGTGAGCAAGACAGGAGAAGTCATTCTCCTGCTCTACTCAGCGCTGATTAGGTCTCATTTGGAGTATTGTGTCCAGTTCTGGGCACCTCATTTCTAGAAAGATGGGGAGAAATTGGAGGTCTAGAGAAGAGCAACAAGAGTGATTAAAGGTCTACAGAGCATGACCTATAAAGGAAGACTGAAAAAACTGGGCATGTTTAGTTCAGAAAGGAGAAGACTGAGAGGGGACATGATAGCAATTTTCAAGTACCTAAAAGAGTGTTATAAGAAGGAGGGAGAAAAATTGTTCTCCTTGGCCTCTGAGGATAGGACAAGAAGCAACAGGCTTAAACTGCAGCAAGGGAGGTTTAGGTTGGATATTAGGAAAAATTTCTTAACTGACAGGGTGGTTAAACATGCATTGCCTACGGAGGCTGTAGAATTTCTATCCCTGGAGATATTTAAGAGCAGGTTTGATAGACATCTATCAGGGATGATCTAGATGGTGTTTGGTCCTGCCGTGAGGGCAGGGGACTGGACGTGATGACCTCTCAATGTCCCTTCCATTTCTATGATTCTATGAAGCCTCACCCTCACTGTAGAATGGGTCCCATGGCTGGAGTTTATAGATAAGGAATGCAGCATAAGGGATGTGAGTACCATACACCCTTCAGCTCTTACCTGCTTATTTGATCCCTGCTTTTCATGCTCCTTTGGCAGCCTCTAGTGTAGTCACTGGTACTGCTCACAGAGTCATTGAAGCAACTTATCCTCTGCTCCAGCCAGCTCTTCTTTCATGTTCACTCTGTTCCCAGGGAGTTATTTGCTATCTTTCTTGCTTTTAGGCTGGTGGATAAGATTCGGGATATAGGATGGAGAAGTCTTCTGGGGGAGGTGGAGTCATCTTGGAACAGGAGGTAGACATTAAGGGAGTCACTGGGGAGAGAGATCATGTAGTTCTTGGAGGCGGGCTAGTTTGGTGATGTATGGTGGGAGCCCAGATGTGGGCACCTAGAAGGAATCTAAGGGGTATCACCTAAAGAACTCAAGTTCTCTGCAGTATGTAATTTCTCTGTCCTTTCTTTCAAAAAAAAAAAAAATGTGGTTGTCTGTGCCTTTGAGAGAGCTTAAATTACTCAACAGTTCATATTTGCAGTATTTTGAAATACTGCAATATCAAATTGACACAGGTTAATTAGAATTTTCAATGCATTTATCACCATGAATGATTGTGCTGATCATTTGTATTTTACGTAAGTGATTATAAATACACACATACTGTGTAATGTATACAATACTGAGTGATGTGTTACTGCCAATAACCAATAAGATTGTCCTGTAAACTTATTCTGTATTTAGTTTGCTATCCAAATAGAAAAATCACAGGTTTGATGCCACTTCATAGTCACCTCACAATTATACTGCAGTACTTTGTGACATCTCTGAAACACATTCCTGTTGTTTTATATTCAGAGCACATAAGATTCACTGCAGTCAACCAATTTTATGGCATAAGGAGGTACTTAGCAATAATTCTGAAATAATTTTTAAATTGCAATCCAAATATATGATAACATCTTCTTAACACAATAATTTTATAGATTCAGAAAGTATAGCTCACACAATCCATTTGCATTGCTGACTACATTATTTTAGTTTGTGATTAATAATGTTAATTGATACAGTGTTTCTTATGTGTTTATTAATTTTTATTAGAATTCAGAAGTTTGGTCAATTAGTTAATGGGGCTTTAATGGGGGTAAACATAGCTTTATACTTTGATTAATGCTGTCATCCTTATTTCATGTTACTGATAATTATGTTCTTGTAACTTCATTCAAAACAAGCACTGTATAATATTATGATGTTAATAAAATCCTTGTATATTCACTTATAGACAAGTTAGAAAGAAAATATATATTGTCATCAAGGAATAACATTTTATTAATTTAAATATTGGTGTTCTGTTTTTAAAGGGGTGTAGTCAACTTAGAAATTACACTTCTGCCTGCAATTGTTTTAACTTATTGCTAAAAATAATACCTTTGATTTTTCTGATTTTCTTGTTATAATATTTTTTAAATCTCTTCAATTTGCTTACTTTGGGCATTTGATTGCCCTTTGTGTATAGTCAGTTTAACCATCTGCACAAACAGCAATTGGAATAGAAAAACGCTTTAAAATAAGAAAATATAATTGCAAAATCACAATTGGCTGGGACTTCATGGTTAGATGTACTTCTTGAGACTGCTTTTAACTTACTTGTTAAAATATATTTCAACTCTGTGGTATCCCTTTAACATACTTGGGAAATAAAATCCATAGAATTGCTTCTTTTAATGGCTTAGAGAATGATTTCAGAGGGGTAGCCGAGTTCGTCTGTAACTAGAAAAACTTAAAAAACAACAAATAATCTAGTAGCACCTTGAAGAGTAACAAAACATGTAGATGGTACCATGAGCTTTCGTGGGCACAAGCCACTTCCTCAGATGGCAGTGTTGAGGTTAAAGATTCGTTTTTTTCTTTTTGATGTTCTGCTGCATTCCTTTTATTAGCCATTTTACAGTATGTTAAATAGTTTTATGGCTCTTTTAGCAGTTTTAAAATTCAGCTTTTTTACTTCTCATATGTCAGTTATAATACATCTGGTTTTGTGTTTTCCTTACATTCAACACTGCATATTGGCTGCTTATTATACCTGTTTGACAACATGATCTTTTGGAATTCCATTACTTCAGTGGCAGTGCCTCTCAGATGTTGTCTGACTATCAGTTCTAGAATGTATGCCATTAACAGCTAGTCATTATTCCTAAGTAGCAAATATTGGGCACTGAAATTAAGAATTTTGTTCGTTTCTCAGAGCAGAAATTACCATTTGGGGGAGTTCATTGGATGCTGAAACTACCTAAGTCTGAAGAAGGATGAAAGACAGCTTATACATTTGCTCTTAGCTAGTCAGATAAAACTTGTCTATTTCAGAAAAAAAAATTAATAACTAGTGGCTAAAAGTAAATCTCTTAAAACCCATTCTTGGTTATTTTGAGTTTCTATTTTATTGCCAATTGAATTAGTAATATTTTTCACTTACTACTGCCCTACTTTGGGAAATATATCTCTTTAGAAGGGGCAGTCTTTTTTTTTTTTTAGCTTGCACTTGACAGATGAAAGGATTTTTTCCCCTTCCTCTCCTTCTCCTTCACTTTAATCTGTTTCATCCAAGCGAGTGTCTCTTTCACCTTCAACTTAACAATGTATCTCTTTACATAGTGTTATGGTATTCACTTTAGAGACAGTAATAGCCTTGAAATATGTGTTAATGCTCAAAAAATTATGCTATTTCACATTTTGCTAGAGGTTATTTAAGTATTCTGCAAACAAAACCTTATCTAGTAAGAGCTTGACCTTGTGCTTTGAAACAATATTACTTAAAGAAACCCTTTTTTAAAAGGAGTAAATTGCCATACTGTAGTATTGTTTAAAGCATTAATGTGTTTATTATGTACTTTACTGAGTTATGTATTTTTAATTATATATTCTACAGTCTCAGAATACATCCACTGTATTTTCAAAATATATTTCTTGATCACCTCTTCAGCTGGTTTTTGCAGGGTTTTTTTATTATGTCTCAGAAGATCGAACCCCCTGCAACTTCAAAGGCATGATATCTATGTCTGGATTTGTTGGAGGGGATGAGGGGAAGGGTGTAGCTCATGTAAGGGGTTTCCTTTCTCTTGGGATTGAGAGAGGGATGGGGCCATTGTGGAGTGGGAGAAGCATCATGTAACTTGGTCTGGCTAGTAGGGTTAAGATAATCCACTGGCTGTTGTTCACCACCACAAGAATATATGCACCCCCATATATATGCACCCCCAACTCACAGCTGGGTTAGAATAGCACTAAGTTGGGTTTGAGTTTTTCTTAATCTACTGTAGGCATTGCACTAGTCACCTTCATTGGGACTGGAAAAGAATTTTGTCTCACTGCTAGATTGGCCAAGCAGAAAGCACTTATACCTTACCCACTGCAGCTGAGGTACCTCGTAAAGTGGGACAAACATTCCATTCAGGTTATTGCTGTGTAGCAGATGACAGGAGTCCAGGGCAGGTGACTCAGAGAGAGTCTAGTTCTGTGTTAAACTAGAGTTGAAAGTGGACCAAGGGGAAGGCCCATAAAGAAGCTGGGAATGGGGTGGGGAATCTAAATGTTTGGTACATCAAGGAGACAAGGCTAGGGCAGTGAAGCCCCAATAATGGGCCGAGGGCCTGAGGGAACCCTCAAACTGGTAGAAATGATTGTAGAAGGAAACCTGACTTGCACTCTAAGGCTACGTCTACACTGCAGCACTATTTCGGGATATCAGAGGTATCCCAAAATAGCTCTCCCATGTCTTAACAGCAAGCCTGTTATTTCGAAATGATAGGCTCACTGTTCCGATGTCCCTGTAAACCTCATTCCACGAGAAATAAGGGGCATTTCAGAATAGTGATTTATTTCAAAATAAGAGCTGTGTAGACAGCACCAAATTACAAAATAAGCTATTTTGAAATTGACTCAAAATAAGCTATGCAATTTGCATAACTCAAATTGCATAGCCTATTTTGAGCAATGGGTGCAGTGTAGAAGAATTAGTGTCTGATAGCTCCTGGATGGACCAAAGTGTTGATATTAAGAGAAGAGCACTTTCTCAGCCTTCTTTCTAAAAGTGCCTTTTTCAGATGTAATATAGTCTGGATGGCATAGTGCCAGGTATTGTTACCATAATTACCATTGAGTTTTCATAGATGACATTCTCACAGTAAATGAACTTGGAACTAGGAATATAGTTCTAGTATATTTCAGCACTGCAGATATACCTTGGTGAAATATGTAAACAGCCAGTGAAAATGGAAGTGAATTTTTTATTTATTATTAATACAGTCTTGGTATGTGAATGAGAGCATAACTCCCTGCAGTACATAATAATTGAATGTTTTTCTCACTTCTAGTGGATCTCTTGGGGCTTTTGAAATGGCGATCTAACACAAACTTGCTGCAGCAAAATTTGAGGCAGTTGATGAAAGTTGATGGTGGTGAAGTGGTTAAGGTAATGAACAAGTTAAAATTTTAAAATGATTTTGATATTCTAATACTTGTGTCCCTTTATATCAAGTATTTATATGGCCCCCATATGAATGCTTCACAGTCTTTAATATATTTATCCTCACAACACCGCTGTCAAGTAAGGAACTACTTTTAAATACAGATGTGTAATGCACAAGGTTTTAAACTATAGATATTTTGAATACTGCAGTAAGCTTGCTTTTATAGGCACATTTAAATGCCAAAAGGGATTTGTATTTAAACAGTACAGTCAAAATTTCTTGAAATTACTGCTGAGGGACAGTGCCTCAATCATTGTGAGGTAATAAAATGCATAGCAAAAGTTGAATTCTCTAAATAAATATTAAGTATGTTTTATTATGTTTGAATGTGGAGTGCAAATATCACATTTCAGCAAGTGTTGCTAATATTTTCTTTAATTATGTTT